GTATATGATGACTTCCCTTGCTTCAACCCGGAAACACATGTCTAGGTTACTTTCTCTGCATGTTCATTAACTGTTTATGCTAATTGGCTTTCTGTGCTGTAATGCAAACTAGTATTAAGTATCTTATCTGGTTCAAATTGCATTGGCTTGCATCAGATTCATGTTAAGGGTGCTGCCTGTTGAATTAAGCTGCTATGCGTCGGAAGAGGAAATTGTAAGGGCAATTCAACCTTTTATTGCAAAATACTTTCCAGTGGAAGCTCAGAATCCCCACAAGGTAGCTTGGATTTTTGCCCCCTGTTTTAATGACACCCTTGCTTTTTAATCTATGCACAAAACCTGAGCGCCTCTACCCCATTAAGTAAACTATTAAAATATTCTTGTGGCCCATAGATGTATTTCCAATTGTACTTCGTTTCTACTTTATATCTCTAGTTTATGACCTCAGGTTTGGCCTTTAGATGTTATTCAGTCTATTACTTGGAGAAGAATTTGGGTTCCTCTACTATCACCTGCATTGCTTTAAAGTTTTGGTGTGTTAATTATTCAAGTATCCTACTTAGGTACTTAAAGGTGGAGAGGAGCGATTGAGTTTGATTTTACTTGATTCTTTGCAATTGTCCAACCAATAACTGCTATATTTGTCCTGACTTTTGGTACTTTGTCTTCTTTTTTCCTCTGTTCTTTGGCTGAGCAAAAAGGCCTTATAAATCTTCTTTTGCAGTTCGCTGTATTGTATGAAGCCCGTGCAAATACTGGTATTGATAGAGCAAAAATCATCGACGCAGTCGCAAAATCTGTTCCTTCACCACATAAAGTTGATCTTAGCCATCCTGATATACATATTGTTGTCCAAATTGTCAAGGTAAGACGTGCACATGCACGGCTTCTTGTAGGTTTTTTTGGTCGTAGAAATGCTACTGTACATAATATGAAAAGCTGCATGATCAGAAATTTTTAAGTACTTTGTGAAAATTTCTTTCTGAAATGTGGACAGAGTTCCTTCATAAAGGAAACTAGTTATTCAGATCATGAGTTGCTGATCTGCATCTACAAGACTAAGTGATTACTTTGTACTAAAAGTTGCATTGAATTTGAGTTATTTTCAACATTCTCATGTCCAAAAGTGATTGTGATTTATGCTCATGATATAATTCGCTTTTGTGCCTTTTGCAGACTGTTTGCTTGATTGGATCGGTTGAGAAGTACAAGGAATTGGCCAAGTTCAATGTGAGGCAGCTTACATCTTCTAAATCCTAACTTGGCAATTCAGTTTGGTTTTAAGCGGCCTACCAGTTTCTGTTCTCAGTCATTTTCTTTAATGCATTTCCTACGATATTTTACCAAATTTTGTACTTTGTTATGCTTAGTTCATTTCAATCTTAAACTTGTGGCTCAGCCTGAAAAAAAGAAAAGAAAAGAAAAGAATAGAAAACGAAGAGGATTTCAGAGGTGTTTCTGTACAACAAATATTCCACTTCGGATACACAAGTAGTTCATTCCCCCTAAAAATCAGGTGTCGGAAATTTTCAGACAGAAAATCGTCAATCCAATTCTGTCTTCTTTGTCCAGTGGCAACGAGATTTCGGATATGCTCTTTACTGCATTCTTGCAACATTTCGATTTTGATAACATTTTTTGATCCTTAGCAATAATTTACCAAACATCAAATTTCCAAAATGACATTTGACAACAATTTTGCTGGATTGCGGGTGTGAAACTTTCTTTCTGTAAATGTTCAGACACCTCTCTAGCCTACCTTGACCTGTTAATTTTGATGCAGAGACCTCTCTAGCCTACCTTTTGCTGATTAATAAATGCCATATATATATATATATATATATATATATATATATATAAACCCAGATGCATGGTAATAGAAATAAACAAAACCATGTAATCTTTAATGTGTTGTTCTAGGTCTAACAAGCATTTCTCAATAATAGAAAATCCAAAAGGCCATTAGTTCATCTTTTTAGTCAGGAGAGAGCACCAATAAAAATAACCAATGAATTAAACAAGCAGCATACAAAGCCCTAGGACAGCAAAATTAGATATGTCCCATCAAATTTGATTATGGACTACACAACAATTGATGGATATAAAAAAATCTCTGCATTTTACTGCATTCAACTTGAGGACAAATCAGTTATGCCATCTACTAATTATCAAAATCAAACTATCTTTGTTGGTCTTGTATGTATTGAAAGTACAACAGCTGTTAATAAAAAAAAAAGGAAAAAAACAATGAGAAGGAATCACAGAAACATGAAGAAACAATATCAATTCACGTTTCTCCTCTCCAAAGAAAGCAGAGTTTATCATTATTGATCAGCTGACAGCATCTTCACTTGCTGGACCCTGCAGGGCTTGGCGATATGAATGAGAAATCTAGGAGCTAGGCTTGTAAAGCTTCTCAACCATTTTCCTGTACTCTGCAAACCAGAAACAGAATTCAGTCAAAGAATTTCCATTGCCAATTTGAGGAAAAAAAGACAATTCATATATATATACAAATATGGTCAGAACTCAGAAAATGTACCTGCTTGATTGCCCCAAAGTGCTGCTGCTTGATTATTCAAAGGTGAGCTTGTGTTTGGTTCTGCATTTAGCAATATCCACAGGTTATATTAATGATAAAGAAAAAAAAAATCAGAGAATTGTCGTGATTCTTAAAATGATTGCAAAACTACCATCAACGGCAAGTAAGATTACCTCCCAGCAGGCTTTGAATGGAGAGCAGAATTGTCCTCACATCATAAGCTGACGACCACTTATCCTGGAACAGATAATGTAATCGATTAATCAGGTTTCCAATTTTGAGGCAAAATTTGAGACAATAGCAGAGTTATGGAGAAACTTTGTCTATTAATACCTGAAGTATGTCCAAGCATATATTTCCATAAACATCAACATTTGGATGAAAGCAGCCAGTCTCGAACTTGACCTTTGGAGCCTTGAATGGATAATCAGTTGGAAAGGAAAGTGATAGTTTGTACTCAGTGCCCTCAAACACGGTATCTTTGCTACCAGTAATTGTTCCTTTCCAGCAGAATATGTTGTCTTCCTCGGGAAAAGCAGATATTCCAGAATCGCCACTCATCTGTACATTCATCAACAGAGTCAAGGAAAGAGATTCAACCAAATAAGGAGCCAACAACAGAGAACAACAACATTGCTAAATGGAAGCATGAATGGAAGATTAAAAGGGATCAGAGATCCTACCATCAAGGCCATCAGTTCAGATTGCAACCTGTATTAACGAGGAAAAAAAGTTCAAGCATCAGTTACATAAACAACTCCTTTATACATAAAAACCCTTCCTTGGACGTATTCTGTCCATGTTAAGACATCAAATTGACAATTTTTCATAACCAACTAGACTAATTAAGCTTTAGATTTCAGAATTGAAAAGGTAACAGTGAGAAAACAACAAACAGGATATGAGTTTGATATCAAAAATTGAGGATCTTAGCTAAATCAAAATCAGACATTAGAAAGTAAAAATCCTCCAAATAACGCAAGCTAAATTAATAGACTCACATAGGACCAAGAAAACACATTTAGAAATATGTCATACGTTTTATTTCTTTCACCTAATACCGTTTTATTTCTTTCACCTAATACCCGTGTCCAGAAATCAAATCGAAACAGAAACCACAAATTCAGACACCAAATCCCCTAAATTAACTCTAAGGGGATCAAAACCCTAATATCCCAAATCAAGAAATTCAAAATTTCTTTACACACGTATTCAAAAAATAAAAACCCTAAAAAATATTTTCAAAAAAATGTACCTCTTGAGAACAGATTGAGTATCAACGTTCTTTGCAGATTGCACTGGCTGCTTGGATGACGTCATCACCGGACCAGCCGCCGGGGTGTTGCTGTTATTGCTGCTTGCGCTGTTCATTGTGGTAGTCATCCCTTCTTCCTTGATTCCTTGCTTTTCACACCTCAAAAAATTCGACCTCTCAACGCTTAAACAATAATCAATATAAAGGGTTCCAAAAATTCTGAACAAATCAAACCGGAATTTCGAGAAATCTCGTCAAAGAAGAAGAAGAAGAGGCTAGTGAGAATTAAAGGGCTGCCCCCTTCTTCTTCTGATGATGATGAATTATTGAATCTTGCTTAGAGAGAAAAAGTGACAGAGAGATTGGACTAATGCAGAAAAAAAATGTGTGAAGAGATGTTTATAAATGTGAGAGTTTGTCTGAGTTTTACATAAGAATCAAAAAAAAATTTTGAACGTTAAAAGAGCTGCGGCGGTGGGGTTTGGTTGATGTTTTCTCGTAACGGCTAGTTTTTGATGCTTTTTTTTTTCTTTTTTATTTTTGAAAAATAGTTTTCTTGGTTATTATTCCGTTGTAAAATTTTGTTAAGGGAGACGAGGGATTTTCTTCCTTTTGAATGATTGAATTGCACTTGTAAGAAAATTATTGAATTCTAATTCTAAGATATTTTTTTTTTATCATTTTTTGGAATCTAATTCTTGGATTGGTTGTGTAAGTAAAACTTGTAGAAATGGGACCCATATATTGCAAATTAGGAGTCTGGTAGATAATCATAACGCAAATGACACAAATGTGAGTAAATTGTGTGAGTTTTCTGTTCATATAATAATATCTCCATAAAATGGAAAAATTGAGCACATCCTCTGCCTTCTCAGTCTAAATATATAATGGGGACAAAAATGCAACGTCAAACTGTTGTCCTAAATTTGAAGAAAAAGGAGAAATTTTGGTGACCAAATTTATTTTGATCAAAACATTTATGACCACTTTAGTACATGGGCCCAATACTAAGATGTTCATTTCTCATTGACTTTAGTAATTCTAAGATGTTCATTTCAAGTTTACAGTTTGACATGCATTTTAGGTAATATATATGACTTTTCTTCCATTTACATAATTACATCAAGAGGAGGGGTACAAACGTCATTTCCTATTGTTATCAAGTAGATATCAATGACCATTAGGTGGAATCTAACAGTCATAGCTTTAAAACACTGGTGCATCCATTACGGTTAAAAATTACAACATTTTCTATATATGCAGCAATTACATCGCCAACAGCACGGAAAGTCACTTTTGATGTCTATCTTATTTTTACCCATAGGATCAAACATCAAATGCCTCCACAAGTCTGTTATTTATTCATGATTTACAAAGTCAAAGGTTATCGGACCAGTGAGACTGTTATTACCCAAGCCTAAATGGTCCAGATCTTCCAAATGAAACAATGACCTTGGAATGCTTCCGGTGAAGTTATTGCTGTTGAGGTTGATGCGAGTCAAGTTTGGGTAATTCATCCAACAGTCAGGAATTTCTCCTGATAGAGAATTCTCCTGAAGATCTAGATACCGAAGATCATGATATTCATTCTTAACTTCACACAAAATGTGAGAGATGCCTCCTGAAAACAAATAGTTGGAAATTAAGTTCTAAATATGTCAATCAATGATAAATTAATTGGATGTGTAGGCAATTGAATATGTTTGATTGTTGTGTGCATATAAACCTTTTAACAGTTTTAGAGATATTTGAACCTTTACCATAAAATTCATTGTGAGAAAGTTCCATGTGGACCAATGATGGGTTAAATAACCAAGAGGGAATAGCCATTGAATGTGCTTGGCTATAATGCACATATAAACCTTTAACAAGTCAGAGATATTTGAACTTTTACCATGGAGTTGATTGTGAGAAAAGTCTACAAATTGCAATGATGAGTTGAATAACCAAGGTGGAATGGTATCTGAAATTCCTGCGAAGGACAAGTTCACATCCCGAAGGATTTTTTGTGATCGGATCCATGTAGGAAATCGGGGGCCCAGCTTCCATGAACTCAATTCAAGTGTTTCAAATTGGACACGAGGAGTCCAACTTACACTTACTCTTAAGGTCAAAGAGTTTCCAGATGCATCAAACTTCGTTAAAGCTGTCAGATTGTCGAAGTGACTTTCGCTCACAATGCCTTCCATTAAATTGTCGTGAATAATAAGCTCTTCAAGTTTGGAAAGCTGCCCAAGACTTTCAGGAAGAGTTCCATTGAGTTCGTTGCAAGATATATCCCAGAACTTCAAGGATGACAGTTTTCCTAAATTTGATGGAATTGAACCAGATAGAGCATTATCATTTAGCCGAAGTTCTTTGAGCTGGGTACATCTTCCTAAATTTGATGGAATTGAACCAGATAGAGCATTATTACTTAGCGAAAGGTATTCTAGATTGGAACAGTTGCCAACTGTGCTTGGAATTGGACCATTTAAGTAATTATCACTTGCATCAAGTGTAATCAAGTCCTTCGACGTGAATACTTCACTTGGTAAAGAGGAGATAAGGTTGTTATGAAATAGATCAAGATATTGAAGGTTGGAAATGTTGGCAATAGAGGTTGGGATAGAACCTCGAAAGTGATTGACTCTAAGGTCAAGTGAAACTAGGGAGCTTAAAGTGGATAATTGGCTTGGGAGGAAGGTAGCGAAGTTATTCTCTGATAGATCCAAAGATGTAAGGGAACTCCAATTCCAAATTCCATCCAAGGAGCCTTCGAAATAATTCCGCCCAAGGTTGAGAGAAATGAGATTGTTAAGATGACTAAGCTCATCTGACAGTGAACCATTCAGATAGTTTCCAAAAAGATCCAAGTGCCTGAGGGAAGTCAAGTTCCAAAGATCTCTGGGCAATGGACCTCCAAAGAAGTTCCAACTTAAATCAAGAGAAGCAAGGGCAGGAAGACCGAAAATCCATCTAGGGATGACGAATCCAAGATAATTTCTAGAAAGATCTAGGACAGTAAGAGAAGAAAAGTTGGCATGGAAGAGTGAGACAAATGTATCTCTGCCACCATCATAATAAGAAATTAAATCAAGCTGACAAGAGAACAAATGTATCTCTACCAACGAAGGGATCGTGTTAATCACCTCTAGCCAATTAGACGCTAGACTAAGGTCCACGCCACTCATGTCTAGGTGTTCCAGATTCGAGAGACCAGCCAACCATTGCAGGTTATCAGCTTGGAGATGGGAAACATAATAGGCTTCCAAGCCTAAAGTGCGTAAACTTGACAGGTTTCCAAGCTGATAGGGAACCATTCCTTGAAATCCAGCTTTAGATAAATCCAGGTACCTTAGACTTCTAAGAGACCCAAAAAAACTGGGAATTGGAATTCCACTGAAATCATTTAGACTTAGATCAAGGTAACGCAAGTGAGTCAAATTTTGTAACGAATGACTGATTTTACCGCTTAATGGTGATTCTTCCTCATCACCAAAATCATCAATTTCACGAACAGGACTCTGAAGCTGAAGTTGAATCACGTGGCCACTTCGGTTGCTACAAACAACTCCTTCCCATTTGCAGCAATCAACGTCGTGAATCCAAGACGAGAGTCTACCATAGGGATCTTTCAAGTCTTTCTTGAAGTCCATAAGAGCTTGTTTCTCACTTGCATAGCAAGTTGCATTTACAGTTTCGCTGGAAGAACAGAGTAAAATTATGGCGACGAGTAAGAAAACAGAGAAATGGGTTGATCCACCCATGATCATGTGAAATGTCGGAAGAAATACATAGCATTCGGCTATCTTGCAGGTAGATATAGAGCTGGATGGAAGAAATGCACAGTTGATATAAAGCTTGACAGGTGATGTGGCTATCAATATCAGGCTTGGAAAGCATATTTCACCTTTGCAGCGTTTACATTGACAAGTCAACAACGGAAGACTCAGGAATCTGACTTCGAAAAGAATTTTTTATTCGTTTTTGGCTTCATTATTGAGAAATTTTAACCTCGGAAATGATTTGAAACAATTTACGAAGGAAATTGCATAAACATAAAATTAAAAGTTAAAATGAGAATTGGAATTGGGGGAGAGGAAAGTTCTTCTTTTGTCTTTTTTTTTTGGATTTTTTAATAGTTTTTGTGTAAATTACGTTGTTCAAAGCCAGATATTGCTACGAGCGCTAAATTCACTCGTTCTTAGCACATATATTAGGATTAATATTTTTGTGATAACAATGTACTAAAATTAGTAAAGCCAGAAAACAAGGAGAAAAAGGAACATGAAAGCTGTTTTGATTGTTCTGCTTTTGTACTTATGCTTTAATACAAATTGTAGTATCAAAATAATTTGTCTGAGGCGGACATAGGGTGGACAGGCAAGGGCAGGCGCCCTCCAAAAGTTTAAAAAATTTTAAAATTCTCCCTATAATTTTAGTTGTCAACTAAAATTGTATTATGTTATCCCCCTAAAAAAATTATTTCTTTCGTTACTTTGTTTAATTTCTTTTGATAAAGTGCCATATATCAAACTAACAATTAGTTTCCTTATAAAAGTATGCCATTAACATCTACATTACCATACATTTAGTATAATTTTTGAATAACAATTATAAAAATATAAAGTTTTCTTTTCTTCGAGTTTCTTATAACAAACCAACTCTTAGTTTCTTTGATAACTATAATTTTACAATAGAAACTAAGGTAATAGTATATATGTTACATAGGAAATCAAAGACAAAGAAAACAAAAAAAAAAAATATATATATATATATATATATATATATATATATATTCTAGCTGTCATACAAATTAAAGAAGTTTCAACTACGATTTTGAATGCCTTACTGACAGTAAATAGAATGGCAGAGAGTCAAATTTTCACATTTTTCTTTATACATTGTTTTTATTTTTTTAAAAATTTCTTGCTTCTATTTATAATCTGTTGTGCTTTCATTTTGCTTTTAATATGCTCTATTTGCTATAATATCATTGATGATTTGTTCCCACTAAACTTTTGAATTCGTCACTGATACTATGCATATTTTCAAGGGTAAATACATCAACATAACCTACATAAAAAGACGATTAAACATAAGAAACTTAATAATTATGTTGATTTAATTCTACATATAAGATTGTTATACAAGTCATTGAGCAGAGCTTACTGGAACTTTAAAGTATAGAAGAAAGCCGTCAAAGGTTATCAAATATATATATGTGTCTTTAAAAAAAAAAATACAAAGAAGAAGACGTCAGGGAAACACCTACATGCTAGCAAAGAAAATCGTATTAAAATTGTTGTAAAGAAGCCAAAAATACACTAGAAATAATTGGTACTCTTTCACATTGGCGGCCGACGGGAATGCTGTCTCTATCCAAATTCTCTCTATCCAAATAATACTTCACCGAAATAAAGAAATATCTGGTTGAAGCCTCAGAGAGACTTTGAAAAGAATCTTTGGAAAGAATAATTCACTTTTGCTCGGTTACACTGACAAGTCAACAATGGAAGACTCAGGAATCTGAAAAGTCATTTATTTGATTTCTCATTTATGATCGAGGCATTCATTTGAGTGGAATTGATTGGAATCTGATTAGGATAAGAATGTATTCATTTGTGGCCTGAGTAGCGATAAATAAAAACTCATGCACCACAGTAAGAACAGTATCAGATTGAGACTAATGTTTCATGGTTCGCACTTCAAATTTTCTCCAATAATTGTTCCTTTTTTATTATGTGGTTTAGAGCTCGAAATTGGCCCCAGAGGTTAAAATCGCTAAAGCACTCAGTTAGTAAGATTTTTTTTTTTTGTTGCACAATGTAGTAAATTAGTAAAGCCAGAAAATATGAAAAAAAAAAAGAAACATTAAAGTTGCTTTGATTATGCTACTTTTGTAATTATTCTTTAATACAAGTTGTAATACCAAAACAATTTAACGGAATCTCATCACTCAAGCATAGACTTTAAGCCTCTTGCCAAAAAATTCAAAAACCACCCGTTGAGATGTTTACTCATACATATATGCAGACTGTTTTTGTCCCATCAGAATATTATTTTTTATTATTGCAAGCATTGCGATTTACTTTTACAAGAAAATTCCAATTTGGATGCCCAATGTTAGAGGGATGGAGACCAAAATGGTCTCTTTTGCATACACGTTGGACAAAACAAATTTAGCAATCAAAGTTTGGAAGGTGAAAATTTTGGTTCAAATAATAATTCTTTTTCTTAAGTAAAATTAAAAAAAAAGGAAATTTCAGTCCGCACAATGTTTTCTAAGAATTAGTGCAGTTGTTATTTATTCATAAAACACTCAGTAGAGAAGATAATACTGCTGTGACTCGTTCATTATTGTTTTGTCTTATTTTTTGGGGCAGTGCTTCAGCATCGAGAGTTATTGTCAATGCGTTTTATCCAAAAACTGATGTATATATTTGATTTAAAATATATTAAATACTTCCACTGAAGTTATTGGTTACAAAAATTTTCGATTGAGAAGAGAACTCCATGAAATTTAAAAAGGAAATTTACAAAAGTTGAGGAGGGGCAAATAAGGTGCAAAATTAAAAATATTGTGAAATATCAAGTCTATTACATAATTTTTTTTCTTTGAGTTTTTATTCTACATATTATTTGTTTACAAAATCAATATGTTGTCATTTTACCATGTATCCAAGTTCAAGGGAAAAAATTAAAGTTTTAGCAGAATTAGAGAATACTATTAACCGATTCACGAAATAGACCATAATATAATACCACAAAACTTAGTTTTGACTTTATTTTCACAAGTTAAAATTTTAGATGATGTTTCATTAAATATTGATGCCATTCTATTTGATTATTTTTATAAATAGAACTTAAATAACACTTTGTCCCCCTTAACCTATGGGGTGGTAACACTTTACCACCCTGAAAATTTTTTTTTTAAAAAAATATTTTGCCCACTCAAATGAATTATGTTTATTCTTTTAATTTTGAACAACCTATGTGCATATTTTTCTTCCTACATTACCCCCAATTTTTCGAGTTTCTCAAAGGTCCACTTTTAGATTGTTGCATTTTCTTCGTATGTTTTCATCAAAATATTCTGTTATTGTGTGCTATGATGTTAGATTATAATATAAATTAAATAAAAAAAACTTCCCCTACCTTAGTCTTTTCCCCACCCTATCCCACTTTCTTAAGAGTTCTCTCACAGTGACCATTACTATTTTTTATGTGACCTAATTTAAAAAAAGTATATATAGCACCAATAAAAATCGCAATTATCAGTCTTTTGAATTAGTCAAAAATTCAATGTTAATTATCACATTTGATACTATGCGAAATCTAAATCAATACCCATTAATTTTTTTACAAACAATACATAACATGTGAAAAATAAAAGTCAAACAAATTAATATAACAAAATCATACTTTTGCCACAAACATAATAAATGCCAAGAAATGGTATATTATTTTATCACAATAAAAGACCATATTGTTTATTTTAAATTTGACTATTTATATACATATTAGTACTACACTACATTATATATAAGGTGAGGGAGAGGATAGGGGATTTAGCCCAATTTAAATTGATACTAAATCTACATAAATCTATGTAATGAACCAACTTTGAACATCTATATAGGGCTGCAAACGAGTCGAGCCGAGTCGAGCTTTGGCCTTATCGAGTCGAGCCTTGACTTAATTTCATCGAACTCGAACTCGAGCTCGAGCTCGACGAGCTGGTAATTTTCAAGCTCGACTCGATTCGAGCCGAGTTCGAGCTCGAAAAAAATAAAAAATAATTATTTTATTTTTAAAAAAATAAATAAAATAATATTTTTTCTTAATAAATAATAAAATATTAAGGATATTTATGTAATTTTACTATCAAAAATAAAAATAAAAAAAATAAAAATATATATACTCGAGCTCGCGAGCCGGCTCGCGAGCTAACGAGGTTAATGTTTTGAGCTCGAGCTCGAGCTCGATTTTAGCTCGACCAGCTCGAGCTCGACTCGAGCTCGATATTGATCGAGCTCGAGTCGAGCTTGAATCGAGCCGCTCGCGAGCGGCTCGATTCGTTTGCACCCCTACATCTATATGCATTTTTTCCATTTCGTAACAGCTAGCCACCGACCGCAGTTTCAAACAGAAAATTGAGGACCCGGCTTCCACAAACACAAATAAAACTTTTTTGTTCCCCCTTTTTCTGGCAAAACGTGGGGTGGGATGCCAACAAAAAAAATTTATTAAGGAAAATAAATCATTACAAGGATGGAAATATGTACCCGACCTACAGATAAAGTGCTTCACATTGGATATGACGATTCAGTATATTGAAAGCCTCAGAGAGACCTTGGCCCTCTTTGTTTTGTGGGCCACAGAGACCGCGACTTGACTTAGAATAATTCACTTTTGCTCAGTTACATTGACAAGTAAACAAGGAAAACAAAATGGAAAGCTATTGAAAACCCAAGTCTTGCTCCTCATTTATGATTCGATGTTACATTGACAAGTAAACAGTGGGAAAAAAGAATGGAAAGCTATTGAAAACCCAGGTCCTGCTTTTTTTTTTCTTTCAAAGCCCAAAGGACCTACGTCAAAACCCAGGTCCTGCTTCATTATTATGATTTGAGGTCATGATGTAACAGGTCTAGGCATTTCAGTGGAATGTACATTGGAATTTGATTTGGATGAGAATTTGATCAGTGACAAATAAAAACTCATATGGCTTATAATCACTCTCAATCTGATTTCAATAAGTATATTTAATGTACAAATGAAGCAGTAACAAAGAAGAATGAGAAAAAATCTTCTAGTTCTGTTCA